TTCACTAGACTTGCCTGATTTAATTTTTTTTAAATTTAGACAGAAAATATTGACTTTTATTTTACCTTGATTTTTAAAAACATTTTTAATGAGCTTTTCATAACCAGAAAGATAGCTGACTGGATCATGTTATGTTGTTGGATCATGTCGTCGCCATGGATATCAATACCTGCGCAGCGCCGGAAATGATTTCATGGTGACCTTCCGGCCTGGAATTTGACCATTTTTACCAGTTGAAAACATTAAAGTTGGTGATTCATTTTCCTCGGTTTTCATGAGAACGTTCGAAAAACCATCATGCCAATTTATACCATTTTTAAAGCGGAAACTGACAAGCGTACCCAAAGCCTACGTTTTCACTTGTATCCCTTGTGACGTGAATCTTTCTCCAGCCCCAGCAGTTGTTTTAACAACATTGTTAAACTCCTTCATAACTGAAAACATTAATTCTATTTGGGATTTTTCTGTGAAGCCCAGTGCCTTTCTGTATTTTTGTTGCTGTGCTAAAGTTATTGGTTTCATAGGTGTCCAAGGTAACACCAATCTCTGAAAACCTTTCATTTAAGATATGGAGTCTTGTAGCTCTGTGGTTAGAGCACTCGCTTTGTAAGCGAGAGACCTGAGTTCAATTCCCGGCAGAGGGCGAAACCTTGGGCAAGTTTCCTTACTCCACACACCTAATAATAATCCCTCCAAAACCAAAAACAATAATAAATTGGTCATTTTCAATCTACGACTGTTTGTGGGACACTGCTGTGCGCAATTGGCTGCTGCGTTCGCCCACAAATATACAGTCAATTCACTTTACGGTATATTCTGTGAAGCGCTTTGAGACGTCTGGAAGACCCCCAAGAAAACTGCCACTAACCACAGAAGCCTCAATTTTATCTCATAGTTTCTGCAAATGCAACAAATTATATTGCTTCAACTGTACTTATGCACTAGTTCAGGAATGCCTTGTAAAAATTACGACACATGAGTGAGTCATGAATGATCCATTGCTTTTAAACCCATTTTGACAGTTTCTTGTGCCCACTGTTTTTTAGTTGAACATTGATATTATCCTGTGTAATGCTTTCAAGCATTTTCCAGAATCAGATATCAGGCTAACGGGTCGAGAGTTTCCATAAAGGCAATACACAATGAGGATTTATGAAAGACGTCCACAATTCGCTTAAAATTTAATTATATTTCACATAGTCTTCAGTTGGCTGGAAAGCTAATCATGCAGAGGGTGGAACTTTGATCCAGTGTGACTGACAGCAGTAAATCAGTCAATTAAAGAGTGCATCTCGACAGCCTACACAGTGTGAATAATAATGACCGATCCTGGATGCTTTCCCCCCCACACACCTTCCTCCTCCCTCACAGTTCAGCAGCACTGAGGCTAGCTGTTTCACCCTAACAGCAGCTGAGATCTGGTACATCAGCACACATCAGCGATCAGTCTGTATAGCGCATTTTGCCCACAAAATATACAGTCAATTCACTTTACAATATATTCTATGAAGCACTTTGAGATGCCTCGAAGACGTGATAAGGCGCTATGTCAAATGCAAATATTATAATATTATTCCATGCTGAGCACAAACTTCCCAATTAAAGCATGAGGAAGCTCTTTTAAAATATTTATTTTCATTTTATAGAGCCTCGGTTTAAATTTGAAGTGAGGCTGGAATATTAATAGGTGATTAGTTCAATAAATCTGACGTGTCAGCCAATTAGATTATATTAGTGCCTCTATAATAGCTAAACTCTGGTACCTGAAAAGAGGGACATTTCAGCTTTGTGCTGCCTTCACACTGAAATTTGTGTAGTTTCTTTGATTTAATTTTCTCTTTTCCTTCCCTCCCCCAAGTTGCATTGTTTCTTTCTGGGCAGAGCAATGCAGCCCATGTAATGTACAACCAAAATGCATTATGTTCTTTATTTAGCCCGATTTGATTGTTTTCCTGGTGCAATTGTTGTCTTGACTGGTTCATAAGCCTCCTGCCTTTAGAATGCTTCAAAACTTAGAACTCTTGTATTTTACTCAGTCAAATGATCTGTTGTGCATGAGCTTATACAAATGCAACTAGCGTGTCAAATTCACAGCATGCCATAATGGAACATTCTTCGAGCTGTATCTTAAACGTGCCAAGTTAAACTTGAAGTAAAATTGGCCTGAGCTGTATTTTGGTAATCGTGGCCAGTCTTTATTTGTTATACTCTGAGGCACCGGGGTGATAATCCCAAAGAACAGAGTACTTTTGTATTGTGCTGGAGAAAAAAGAAAGACCTATGTTTCAAGCAACTCCCAAATGAGTGCTCGCACAGTGGAATCCTATTGCCTTGGAAACTTATTATAATTGTGGATCTTTGGCTCCACTGGGTTTCTCCTGAGAATATAAAGTGGGGTTGTGTTCCTGCTTCTTTCCTGTGTAGAGGTGGCAGTTGTCTCAAGTTCCCATGTTCGGCAAAATTTTGTTTTTGTATGGAGAGCAGGTTATGAAAAGGGAGTTTGTCTTTACATGCCAATGTGTTTCTAATGTGACTGCAGTAATTCTGGAAACATGCTGGACTTTCAAGTCCTTTGAAACGTCTCCCGACATGAAAGGCGCTATATAAGGTACATTGTACTAAATAGAATTTCTGATGTGAAGAACAGAGAAATATTATTTTTTGAATTCTGGTAATGGCATACAGTGTTACAACAAGTAGTCAAGTCTTTTATTTAATAATAATCCTTTACTTGGTAAATAGAATAAAAGGGGATTTCTTGCCTCTGGGTCAGAAGGTTGTGAGTTCAAGTTCCATATCAAGACTTGAACTCATAGTCTAGCCTGGCATTCCAGTGCAGTTGTAGGGTAGTGCTGCATTTTCAGAGGTGTTGTCTTTTGGATGAGATGTTATCCCAATCAGGGATAACCTGAATGTATAAATTTCAGGTGAACACCGGCCAATTTGCCTACAGAAATATCCCACGAACAGCCACAAACAATTTTATGTGGGTTATTGTTGGTCAGGATACCGTGAGAAATTCCTTTCTCTTTTCATAGTAGTGTAATGGGATCTTTAAAATCCGAAAGGATTATTATAGTTTGATTTGAAAGAAATTGTGATTTACTGAACATTGCTGCCACCACCTGGATTCTTTGCAATGGTACAAATTACAGCATGAAAAACAGTCGGCAAGAAAATGTGTGTGACTGGTTTTGAAACATACAAAATGACAGCACTGACAGATTTTGTTTGGTATTAATTGACTCAGCAACATACAGTGTAAAATAAGGAGAGAAGTGAGAAAAACTGGCCAGAGGCATGATGAAGTAGAAAGACAAAAGGAAACAAAACAAAATCAGGGACAGGTCAGTGAACAGCGACGAGGACAGTCCTATGGAGCAGGAGAAGGGATGGGAAAACATGAGCTGAAACCAAAATAAAATATAAGGCAAAGCAGGAACCCTAAAGCATTGGAATAGAACCGGTGTTATTCAATAGGAATAAGAATTTTACAGTGAGTAGCAACGCACCATCACCTTATGACTGTGTAAATTCTTCATGTAGATTAATTAGATTGCAATTTGAAATGGTTTGAACCAACCACCTCCTGACTCCGGGGCAAGAGTACAGTAGAAACTTGATTTGCAGTCACCTCAGTAACCCAGCCACCTCACAATTGCGGGCACATTTTCACAGTCTCTTTCATTGTCAACATTAAAAGATAGGCTGTCTTCTTCAGTAAACCGGGCACCTCACTATTCAGGACAACGGTCATTGATTGCGGCCACTACAAGCATCCTCCTCCCTTACAAACACCCCACTCCGCTACTAACCTGTACACAGTGTGCTCGGCCTCGGGCTTTTCGCTTTGTTTGCTCGACGTGTGGCGCAGGAAGTATTGGGATCACGAAAGCGGCGCGAGCGGGAAATGAACTTCGCCCGCGGCCTAACTTGAGCTACGGACAATTCTTGGTAAGTGCCACCACGGAAGGAGTTGTTCTTACGTGAGAGCCTGGACTTAATGAAAAATCATAGACAGTTAGCTGTGAGCTGTGGCTTTGGCAGAACACAAGTTGGATGCATTCTCAAAAGGAAGGCTGAATACATGATGGCTTCTGTTTTAAATGTGCCAATGCCTTTATTTTAATGAGATGGCAAAGGTTGTTGATAGTTCATCATCCTCGCCCATTACCAATGCCCTTAACATTACATCAGTGACCTGAATCACCCAACCTGTTTCAGTAATCACATCACCTCACTAAGTAAGTCACTTTTGCCAAGTCACTTGAGTGACCGGTTTAGTGAGGTTCTACAGTATTGTCAACTCAGCCAGGCTGACACAGTTTAAATAAAAAAATATTGTTCGTACAGGGAAATGGACAGGTACTGAAAGTCAGAGGTTCGAAAGGATATGGGGATAGGGCAGGCAGTGGGATTGAAAGTACAGCTGGCTCTGAGAGATGGTGCAGACTTGATGGTTGAATGGCCTTCTGCACTGTAAATTTCTAATTGTATGCAGTAGAAATACTTTAGAACGCAGGTTTGTTTATGAGAGGTGCTCTGTTGGCCTGGCCTAGCGTTTCAGATCATTAGCAATGTCACTTGCTGTGTTTGTGCAGCAGCAAAATGTGACGATTGTGGCAATTGTGAAGCGATTTAAAAGGGAGAGTGAGAATATTGGAATTGATCGCTTCTGCAACAGAGAGCCAGACCATCTGATAGGCATACAGCTGAGTGAGTTTACATTAATTCTAACAAGAAGTGCGTGAACTATGTATGAGTGAATGGCCTGCTTTTATATCTAAATGGAGTTCATTATCAGAACCTGACACTTGTGAAAAAAGAATGAATTTGCATTTTTACAGTGCCTTATATATCAAACTACCTCAACACTTTGCAGTAATGTCAAGTGTATTGAATGTTTTTGAAGTGGAACCTTTTTGAAGGGTGATTTTTGCACCGTCGAACCATGGTGATCTCTGTGATCTAATGTTAGTGATTTTGTTTCTTTGTTACAGTCAACGGCTTGAAATCCGAGCCCAGGTGGCAGATGCCTTCTTGTCCAAGTTTCAGCTGAGTCCGGATGAACTAAATGTCCTCCGAGGTACGAGAGAGGGACCGATCACAGAGGTAAGTTCACCCGTGATTCCTTTACAAGGTCGTATCTTCAGAAGCACTGAATGACAGATAGCCTTAAACATTGTGCGGTTTAATCTTTGATGCACTTTCAGGACTTCTTTAAAGCTCTTGGAAGAGTGAAGCAGATTCACAACGATGTTAAGGTTCTGTTACGAACAAACCAGCAGACTGCAGGGTAAGCTATGATTTTGTTCAGTGCAGACAGAGACTTGCGATTTCCAACACCGTGTACCAAATTACTGAAAGCTGTTCTAGGGCAGAAGGAAGATGGTGTAAAGGAAAATAAATAGAAAAATTTAATTTGCAGGATATTGAAAATAAAAGAGAAATACAATATTGTGGGTCAATCTGAATGCCTGTTTCACTGCTCTAATCACTCTATTCAACTCTTTATGTGAATAAGAGGTATGGGGAACGGCAGGTAGATGGGACTGAAAGGATTGCTCTTAAAGGAGTCAAGACCATTCATCCAAATTGCCGCTTTCTGTGTTGTAAATGTTTATGGTTCTAAGCATCTGAAAGAGAAAAATCACTTTACCTGAAAGAGGAATCAGTCACTGTTTTATGTCTGATCTGACATAAAAGCTCAACATTTAGTGTGAAACAGATTGAATTATTGAAGCCGGTCATGGTATTTCAAGTCAGTTAAAGACTACAATTTGTTTTTTTTAAAAAATCACCGGCCTTGCCCTGCTCATTGTGATGAGTTTCATTCATTCTCAACAGAGCTGCACTGAAGAGAGGTGTTCAATCTTAGTAGTGCCAGGAGAGGGTCCTGGCAGAACTGCCTTCGTGCATTTGAAAGAAATCTGCTTCCCAATTTGTCAGGACAAAGAGTGGCAGCTTTAAAAGTTTATGTTACTTAGACAATCCCAGCATCTTACACTTTGGAAGAAAAAGTGAGGATGCAAAAAGTAACTTTTACAAAATGTGTTTATCTCTTCCAAAGTCTGGAAATTATGGAACAAATGGCCCTTCTCCAGGAGACGTCATATGAAAAGCTTTACAGGTGGGCACAAGGTACGTTGCCAGAAATTGCATATAATGTGAATAATCATCCTTACATTTGATACAGCACCCTACGCATTGGGAGAACATCTCTTAAATAGGCAGCATGATTCTATAGTTCACACATCAGAGACTCTGCCGTGCAATGTTAGCAATGTGAATATCTAATAATAATAATCCTTGTATCTGATATAGCGCCTTATCACTTTGTTGAGACTTCTCAAAGCGCTTCACAGATTGTACTGTAAAGTGAATTGACTATATTTTGTGTTTCTTAAAAAAAATTTATGAAAGTGAACAGACTATTTTGGTTGGTAAGTGATTTGAAAATTGACAGCAAGAACAAGTCATGTTCCAAGGCCTCTGTGGCTAATTACTTGTTGGTGGACAAAGAGTGCTATGATGTGTCACTAATAAACAAATACACCAAGGTGGACACCATCATCATTGGACAATCATTAATAAAGCCCTGAAGGTTTTGCAAGTTGTGTGTTATCTTTCAGAAATTTTACTGGAATGAGGGAAGCAATAAATATATGGGGATTGATTTACAGACAAAAACAGGGTCTCTCCCTTTTCTTGTCCTCTCTCTCTCTCCCCCGCTGCTCTCCCTCCTCTCTCGCTCTTTCTCTGCTCTCCCTCCTCTCATTCTCCCCCGTCTCCTCGCAATCTGACATCTCTCCTTCCTCCTGTTCTCTCTCTGACCTTCCACTCTCTTGTCCCCTCCTTTCATTCTCACTGGCCCCAAGCACCCTCCTTTCATTAAAACACAAAATGCTGTAGATGCTGGAAATCTGAAACAAAAACAAATCGCTGGGAACACTCAGCCTAACTTGCTGAGTGTTCCCAGCGATCTGTTTTTATTCCTTTCATTCTCACCTCCTTTGAATAATACAAGTTTGTGAAGAGCTCCAAGATGTTATCCTATGTGAAGGGTGCTATGTAATCATCCTTGTATTTTGTAATTGATCTTCGAGTGTCAAAGCACTTACAGGATTTTATGTAAAGTTTAATAATGCGGTATTTGTAGGCAAATGCAGCAGCAATTTGCACACAGGAGTGTCCCACAAACAGCCTTGAAGTGAATGACTAATTTTAACTGACGCATTGTTGACAATGCCACCAGGAGAAATCCCGTTCTCTTCGTGTAGTGCTCTGGGATCTTTAACCATTGGTTACTGATATTTACCTGAACAGGCAGATGAGATTAGTTTACCATCTTATCTGAAAAATGGCACCTCTAATGCAGCCCCTCCTCCAGCACTGTACCAGATTGTCAGCCAAGACTGAGCTCAGAGTCCCGATGTGGGGCTTAAACCTACAACCTTCTGACTCAGGCGAGAATATTATCCACAGTCAAGCTAACACACTTTAAATGCAAGTTCTTATTCACACAGGGAAATAGAAAGTTAGAGACTTGAAGTATAGGGATAGGGTAGGGCAGTGGGATTGAAACAACAGCATGTTCTGAGAGCTGATGCAGACTCGATGAGTCGAATGGCCTTCTGCTGTAAATTTCTATGATAATTCATGAACTTTGAAATGTTTGCATCCAACTGAATATGTATTGTAAAGAAATGTATTGCAACAGAACAGAAAGTCATTCCACTACTCAAAAGCTTTTGTCACTCTTCCTTGCAGGTGAATGCAGAACTTTGACCCAGGAATCCTGTGACATTTCTACAGCACTATCTCAGGCTATGGAGGCTCTGCAAGACCGGCTGGTACTCTACAAGTTAGTATTGTTTTCACCTAATTGGTCCAGGATTAAAGTCACTGTATTCCATTTATTGAACAGTTTGAAATGTAAACGAAAATGAATTTTTGCTCTAAATTCTGTATTCGGTCATGATCACTGTGCTTTTAATAATCCTTGCATGTCAGACCTCTCAAAGCACTTCACAGAATATTCTGTATTTTATGGGCGAAACTCGGCAGCCAATTACGCACAGCAGTGTCCCACAAACAGTCGTAGATTGAGTGACCACATTTTTGGAGGGATTTCTACTCCAGAAAGCAATCCCCTAATCGACTAACAACCGGGTTCCTACTTACTGGTGGGCAAACAAAGGCGTGTGGAGTAAGGAAACTCGCCTAAGATGTCATCCCGTCCTTTTAAGAGTGAAAGATGAGAGCAGCTCTGATGGTGCACTGGATAGAGCAGTTTACAGAGCAGGAGCTCGCTGGTTAGGGTTCCTACTCCTTCAGCACCCTCTGGTGGTGCAAGAATGTTGGTGGCAGCTGGGTGAGGAGTTAGGCTCATACGTATTATCTTCTCCAGTCGAGTGGTCTACACACACTCAATGCCAAGGCTTACACCTAGTATGGAACCGTATCTGAAGCAGAGAGACATAAGGCTAGCGCGGAGATAATTAGAAAAATACATTCATATACAAAAATGTTTGCTGAGTTTCACTGATGAAACAATGGGTAATTTTACTGCTTGCACTGCTAAGTGATACTGAGCCACACGTGTGGGACATAACCTGGGCTAATAGAAAAATGCAGCCGCACTTTTCCCGCGATTGTCTGAGTGTATGTCTCACTATATGCGTTATGTGCGTGTTGGTGTGTGTCTCTCTGTGTGTGTGTGTCTCTCTGTTTGTGAGTTTCTGTGTGAGTGTGTCTATGTCTCCCTCTCCTCTGTGTGTTCGTGGGTGTGCCTGTGAGTCTCTCTCCATGTGTTTGTGAGTGTGCGTCTCTCTCTGAGCATGTGCGTCTCTCTATGGCTGAGTATATGTGTCTCTCTCTGTATCCGTGAGTGTGTGTGTCTCTCTGTGCCTGTATGTTTGTGTGTCTCTCTGTGAGTGTGTGTGTCTCTCTGTGTCTGTGAGTGTGTGTGTTCTCTCTGTCTGTGAGTTTGTGTGTCTCTCTCTGTGTCTGTGAGTGTGTGTGTCTCCCTCTGTGTCTGTGTGCAGTGTTGAGCCCTGGGAGCTCTTGTAGCCTCGTTGGTGTTGCCCCCTCCCACCACAAAAACAGGAGGCCACCCCCCCCCCCAGCTCAAAAACAGGCCACCCAGTTTTGGTTAAAGAAACAATTAATATTTTTTTGCAACAATCTAATATGTGTTATTTCCTCATGTTTAGTTTTTATCAATAAAGTGAAAAAATGTAGGTTAGGAATAAAATGTACCTCAATAGCACCAATCAATTCCTCACCATTTTCTGCAAAACTTGCCAAAAATTTCCCAGCAATTTTTGGCAAAATTTTCCGCACTTTTCTATTGGCCCAGGTCATAGGTTTCATTAATGCTAAGAATTGGTGGAGGGCAAGAAGCAGGTTTAGCTGGCTGGCATCTTTGACCATTCTTCGCATGTGAGCTCAGCTCTCTTTTACTCTCCTTTGCTCATTTTTTCTCTCTCTCTCCCTCTCTCTCTCTCTCCCCCCTTTTCTCCCTCTCCCTCTCTCTCCCTCCCCCCTTTTCTCCCTTTCTCTCTCTTTATCAACCTCGGCACGTGATACAGACTATAAAAATTAATTTGTTGTTCTCCTCCCACTGCATCTCTCTTTTTCTTTCTCTCCATCTCCATTTTTCTCTCCCTCTCGCTTTCTCTTTCTATCTCTTTTCTCTCTCCCTTTCTCTTCATCTCCCTTTCTAATGCTCCTCCCTACCTCTGTTACCTGCTAATCCCATGCTGCTCCCTCTGCTCGGCAGACTCTGGCTTGCTCCTTGCCCGCCCCACCATTGGCAGTTGAGCTTTCTGACCCACCCTTTGGAACTCCATCCTAGTGTCCCTTCACCTCATCCCCTCACGTGCCTCCTTCAAAGCCCGTCTCAAGAGCTTCCTCTTCGACCGCACCTTCGGTCACCTTTCTACCCCCACCCTCCCTGCCCTCCAGCCCTCCTGATCCCAACCCCGAGCTCCAGTGCACATCCCTGATTGTCCAGAGCTTTGGGGCATCCTCCTGACGTGAAATGTGCTATCCAAATGTAACTTTTTGTTGTTTTCCATCTCCCTTTCTCCCCCCTCTCCATCTCCTTCTCGCTCTCCCTTTCTCTCTCTCCCTCTCTCTTTCACACTCTCTCTCTTGTCCAGAATTGTAATGCATTCGTTGTCATTTCTTGGGCGCTTCTGAACTTTTTCAATATGAACTATTGTGCAATGCGCTTTGAGGGTTTTCGCAAGAATGCAATATGATGGAAAATCTTGCACCGCAGAGACAGGTTGACATTTTTATATGGAAGATATTCTCCCATTCAAAGGAAAGGTTAAGAAAGATGAAAGTACTTTTCAGACTTCGAAGCCAGCATGTGTGTCTGTCTTGTGTCCTTTGGTGTCAAGTCTCTGACCTTTGCAATGATGAAAGTGTCAAATTTGTGAGAAATGCACTCTGCAGTCTTTGAAGATGCACATTAGCCTGGCCAGTGCATCTGCTTCAGGAGGGATAGAGGAGAGGGAGTTGGAGGTTCGAAATGGGTGAAAAATGTATTCCATTCTCTGGAATATATAATGGTATGAAATATTTGCATTCAGTAATAATAATAATCCTTGCATTTGATATAGCGCCTTATCGTATCGTTGAGACGTCTCAAAGCGCTTCACAGGATACACTGTAAAGTATAGTGACTGTATTTTGTAGGCGAAACGCGGCAGCCAATTGCGCAGGGTGGAATAGTCAATTGAATTTGAAGAAATGCAATTTCCCTTTTTAAACAAATAGGATCCTAAAACATATGTTTTATCTTTCCTGGATGGTACATGCAAACATCAAATTGTAGATCCACTTGTCTCCAGAACAGTGTGTTTACTTCAATAAGGTATTGATTAGGGTCAGGCTGCAGGCGGCCACGAAAATGCAACCAGTGCTCCCAAATTGTTTTTATTTGAGAAAATGGCAAGTCAAGAGGAGTAACCGAGTCCTGCAGTGCATTCAGCATTTGCAGATTCTCTCATTTATTCAATCTGCACGAACAATTAGGACTTGTGGTTAGCCATAGTGAGAGAAAACTCAATCACTCCAGGACATTGTCTTTTTAAGAAATTCCCTCCCACCATCACCCAGTGTGAGACTGAGCCATGTGAAGGTGTCAGATTCGATCTCCAAGTCTATGTTAACTTAGTTGATTTCTAATTAGGTTTGGTGCATGAGAATATAGGCCGTGTGCATGTTAGAGCACGGAGAAGATATTGCTGTCTTTCTGATCCATCTTGCATTACAAATGGTGTCAATTGATATGCCTGTCAGGGAGGAGAACAAATCCATTGGGCTCCGGCTTCTGATTGCTTTTTTTTGTTCAGCAGGGTGTCTGGTACATGCAGAAACCTATCACCGTGTTTAAGAGTATCCAAACTAGAGTGAGGCTTCCACATATATATGCCATCTACACATGGAAATTTCCATGTGTTTGAATTGCAGTATGCACTCTCCCTAGAGCTGAATGGAAAGAGTGCTGCCGACAGGCCAGGCTGGCTAGTTTGAACCCTCATGAGGTGGATAGCAAGTACCAGAAAATCCCTGCGAACCTCCTGGTGAGCAGCACTGCTCAGCGTGAAATGTGTGAGAGCATTGCCACAATCCTCCTGCCCACAGCTTGGTCACACAACCTTACCCATTGATCAGTGGATAAGAATCATTCTTGCATTTGATATAGTACCTATAATGTCACTCTTAAAGCACTTCACAGATAATTGCCGTAAAGTGTAATAACTGTGTATTTGTAGGCAAATGCAACTACCGAATTGTGCAAAACAGCATTCCCACAAGCAGCCTTGAGGTGAATGACTATTATCGCTGAAGAATTGTTGACCAAAATGCAGGAGAAACTCTTCTCTTTTCAAATTATTGTCATGAGATGTTTAATGTCCATCTCAACAGGCAGACGGAGCCTCGGTTTTCCATCTCATCCAAATGATGGAATGTAAGACAAAGCCAGGCTTACTTCCCCCAGCACTACACTGGAGTGTCAGCCTAGAGTGTGAGCTTAAGGTATCAAAGCCACTGACCCAGAGGCAAGAGTGCTGACACTCTGCAGCGTCACCATTAGATACTTTTCATTGTAATCCAGTAGCGTGTAAAGTGTGCTCGGGGTAACTCTCAACCATAATCCTCCACCTACCTTGTTCAGTTATGATGGATCAACATTGTCTGCTTGTAAAAATAACAGCATAAGCTGGCAGTGTTTCCTCTGATGGCCTACTAAACAAGTGGCTGTTTAGGCTAGACCCAATGAATTAATTTCTGTTTTCTTTTTTGTTTCTGCTAGAAGAAGAATATTTCTCACTGTCTGTTATGTTCTAAGCTTGTTGCTTAAAAACATTCTTGTTTTTTAAATCATTAAAGCGTTCGCCTTATGCCAGGAGTCTGACACTAGGTGGAGACCGAGAGCTGACGATGTGATTGCTCCTTTTACACATTGCGCAAGTGTGACCAGGCTGAGGTGTGCAATTTTTTTGAGTTGGAATCACACCGTCGGGATCGTGTATGTTTCTAACAGGATTCCTTAATGAGAAAATCAGAATTATGTCATGCCGTAACAGTGGAACACTGCACTGACACCATCTACTTCAGAGCGTGGTTAATACAATAATAACTTATTATAATAATATTAACTCTGGAATACTCCTCCTCTATCCCTCCGCCTTGCCCCCCCCCCTTCCCTATCTTCATGTCGAGCCTGAAGACCTTCCTCTTCGACCGTGCCTACCATCAGGTCCCCCTCCCCCGGCTTGGCATCGTGCTCTGCCACTGTCAAACACTCTGGGACACTGCCCTGTGTGAGGGGCACGATATAAATGAAAGTTGTTGGTGTTGTAATAAAAGTCTCGTAATTTTTAAATTATTATAGATGAAAGATGTTGTTGTGCAACGCCAAGGTCAGTAGACTATAGAATTTGTGTAAAATGTAGCATTGGTGGTGTAAAAATGGTTATAAGGACTATGGGGGAGGTGTAAAGTAATATTACATATTGCGAAACAAAAGGACAGTATGTTTGTGTGTTTTTAAAATGTAGTGCAGTTATTCCAGATACTGTCATCTCACCCCTCCCCTCCCCTTTCGCCTTCCACCCCCAGCTCAGGTTTCCAGCCAGTAGTGTTAAGTGCTTTGAGATGTCCTCCCAACCTGAAAGGGGCGACATAAATGTATTGTCAATCCCTATAAAAAGCCTGGTGTTGAATACATGTAAGATAACAATTACCTGGCAGTGGGTTCAAAGGTTTTAGTCGAAGGAAGAGGTTTGGATTTCTTAAATGTTAAGACCATAGTTTGAACTATTCAGAACAGATGGCTGGTGAGATTAGACCGTAGTTTGGACTAGTTCCCTTTATACAGGTAAAACTGACCATTGCCGTTTCTCCATTTATAGTAATATGTATGGTACAGGATGATTGAAAAGTCATGATAACTACCCTATTATCTAAAAAAATTCTTATTAGACATTGTAATGGTATCATGACTTTTTGGTCACTGTGTAGAATAAACCTTGCATTTCACATAGAGCATGATCACGTCATTCAGAGTCTTAAAGTGCTTCGTTGGATACACTAATCTCGATTGACTGTGTATTTTGTGGGCAGCCAGTTGTGCACAGCAATGTCCCATGAACAGCCGTGAAGTGATTGACCAATTTTTTATTTGGGGGATTGTTGGTCAGGACACCAGGAGAAACTCCCTTCTCTTTTCGAATAGTGCCATGGGTTCTTTAACATCCGCCCAAACAGGCAGATGTGACCTTGATTTAAAGTCTTATCTGAAGGACAATAATGCAGCACACCCACATTGGAGTGTCATCTTAGACTTCCAAATCCCGAGGTGGTCCTTGAACCTACAACCTTGAATCAGAAGCGAGAGCCAAGCTGACACACAAACAAACATGTGCTATGAACCCAGCAATTTTCTCTCTCATTTTACTCCCCATTCTGATTGCCAATGCATGGCCTGTGTTTACGGGGTGATTTGCCATGTAAAATCCAATATAAAGCAAGGGTTGAGGCATAAGATCTGTAAGCAAACCCCAATGGAACCCAGCTGTAACAGCTCATCGATATCTCATCGCTGCAGTAATCAAGACATTAGAGACATTCATACCCTCTCATAAAGATATTGTCAAGTTCACAGGGAGATTAATAACAAATGCTAAAAGTCAGGTTAATCAGCGTCCAAAAGAGAAAGATTGGTTAACATTAAGGGGGTGCAGAATTGTTTTCTAAGTTTACAAGAACATCCATCTCCGTCCAGAAAATCAAAAATGAGGCAAAGCAGCCAGTGAGAGATTGAGAAAAGTCTTAACTGATTATTATTATTAACAAAGAACCAATAGGAATTCATACAGTCCCAACATATAATATGGATTTAGGGAAGGAATAATACGGAAGCTATTAAAATGATCACAACCAATTTCCAGTCCTTTGCTCTCTGGCCTCCCCATAAAGTTTCCTTCTTGCCTCAAGCAGGAAAAACACCCTCCTGGGTTTGCTACCAACTACAGCCCAATGGTATGCCTTACTGAAATGGTGATACACGTCTATTTCTGCTCTCTCTCTCTCTCTCTCTCTCTCTCTCTCACTCTCTCTGCCTCGCTCTCATGCTCTTTCTCTCTCTTCACTCGCTCTCTCGCACTCTCACACTCTCTCGTCCCTTCCCGCTTCCCCACCCAGAGTCATCTAGGTCAAGACACTTTGGAAAATAGCCCAGTCTGAAATAAATCAACTATTCTCTGAGGATAAATCAAAGTCTGTTCTCCATTCCTGGCCTGTTGCCAGGGGTTGGCCAGTACCTCAACAACACGCCATACATAGGACAAGCAGTATGCAATATGGAAACTTGCAGAGCTGTGACAGCATTGCCATAACCCACCACATGCCGCTGTCCCAAGCAATGCAGCAATATATTTACCAACCTTTACCACAAGGGAGGTCCACAAGCTGCTTTGTGAGACTCGCACTGTATTATTCATTGTATCGTCAAAGCGCTCTGGGACTTTACCCGGCGTGAAGGGTGCTATATATGTGCAAAATGTTGTTGTTATCTTGCACACTGCCAGGTACCTTTAGAGTGGAAACTATGGAAGGCCAGTAAAACTCGCATGAATCGTATCTGTATGAATCCTATAATCGCCTAAGTCGTATATTTATCCGAGTCCCATTCAGTTTCCTATCAAAATCACTTAGATTTCTTTGCACAACTCATATTAGTCACCTCCTAGGTAGGGGAGTGCTGTTATTTTCGTAACACTGGTCCCCTACCCTCCATTACTCCCACGCTTACCAGCTGCATTGAATTGCGGGAAACGTAGTGTTGATCCGTCGACGCAGGTGCGAGAAGAGCTTCATTTCCTGCGATTCCAACACTTGTCGGTAAGTGTGCATGTGGCGACAGGTTAAGCAGCCCGGCAAGTCTGCTCTGCACTACACCATATGCAAGGATTATTATTATTATTAATAAGTATATGACAAGTATCTTCAGTTCAATTTATTCTGTTTTCCAAACTCCTTGTTATCCTTTCTTACAGAGCATGTGTCTATCTGACTTGAATGGGTCAGTTGACCCTGTTTATGATTACCTTTTGAGGCAGTCTGTTTCATCACACCCATTTATTGTGTAATTTTTTTCCTGGCCTCCCCTGTTATGCAATGGCTTTGCTTTATGATCGGTCTGTCCCGCCAAATAGAAATCCGCAAATTATTGTTTACTTCCATGAGAAACGCGACACAGACGAAGTAGTAAAGTTGCTAACTGATGATTTCATTGTTCTGATTCTTTCGAGGAACGGGTATAATCTGGATGAGTGCTTACTCACTTATTTTCGAATCCATTGAAAATTAAACCTCCTTGGAGCCCTATATTTCCTGCTCTCTGTGCATTAGACTCTTGTAAATCTAACCCATGCATTTGCTTCCCAGCATCAGTTGATGGGAATCAGTTGATTCCCACCATACGATTTCTCAGACTCAGTTGCAAGCAGTGCTTTTCTTAAAAAAAACTTTCATTTATATGGTATCTTTAATATATACTACCCTTTCAAAGCGCTTGACAGAATGAAAATCTGAGTGAGGTGTGAAATGTGGGAGTGAGGTAGGAGGACATTGATTAAGGCTCAGTTTGTGCTGTAATATGTAAAACATTTGATAAGGACTTGGGGTGTGTGTGTGTGTGGGGGGGGGGGGGGTGGGGGGTGTCATTTAACAGTTAACTTTTACAAAGAGCAAACTTTTGAGTACTTGCAACAACAAACCCGGTTGTTAGTCAAGTGGCGGATCACTTGCCTGGGATTCAATAATTCCTTCAAAAAAAAATAATTTGGTCATTCAATCCACAACTTTTTGTGGGACACTGCTATGCACAATTGGCTGCTGCAGTTTGTCCACTAAATACACAGTCACTGCACTTTACAGTATATCCTGTGAAGCTCTTTGAGACATTTCGACGACGTGATAAGGCGCTGTATCAAATGCAAGTATTATTATTTTTATTATTACTTCCCAGCTCCAGTTCTTAATGCCAAGAGTTTATCTCTCTTTTAAGATGATTTTGCTGCTATTATATGCCCACCTTGCATTTCACAAGTATATTTATTGTAGCAAACCTCTTGCCCTAGGTATATACTGGATGAATTTGGCACAGCAAGAAGGAGTGCAGTGGTTCGTGGTTTTATAGACGCTCTCACCAGAGGGGGATCAGGCGGAATGCCACGCCCAATTGAAATGCACGCTCATGATCCTTTAAGGTATGCTACTGGAGGCTTGACCTTTTATTCCTGCCTTTCCAGCTTTCTGCAATCCAGTTGAGTAAATCCTGTTAAATATGTACTTCCAGATATGTTGGTGACATGCTGGCATGGTTGCACCAGGCAACTGCTTCAGAGAAGGAACATCTTGAAGCGTTACTTAAGCACGTGACTATGCAAGGTAACATTTAACCTCTCCCTAGTTTCTCACATCTAAACGGCTTGCATTCCTTTACAAGTAATTGCTGTCAAGTGCAGTGATTTTTTTTTGTCGAGTCATCTGTAGAAGTCCCTTTCGTCCATTTGATACTTCTGGAATAGCAACCGTACCGTCTTTTTATTATTGCATCAAGTTGTTTCTTAAATGGACCCAATTTAATTTAATAATCCCTCAAGAAAAGAAAATAATAAAATTGGACACTTCTATCCACGACTGTGTGTGGGACACTGCTGTGCATAATTGGCTGCCGTGCTTCGCCCACAAATATACAGTCAATTCACTTAACAGTATATTCTGTGAAGTGCTTTGAGATGTCTAAAAGACGTGAAAAACGCTATATCAAATGCAAGGATTATTATTATCCAATGTCCTCACCTGAAATACGCTTCCTGGTAACCCATTCCAGCTGTTCATCGTTTCCTATGTGAAGTAGTACATCCTGGTCTGTCCTAAAATTCCCCTTCACAACCTTTGCCTTCTTATCCTACTGTCTTGGCATATCGGAAAATGTTCTGGGTATATTTTCTCGATCTGACAAAGCTTCTTGCATACTTCTATTAAGTTCCCTCTCAGACATCTCCTTTCATCTTTTCAAAGTTTAATAGCCACGGCGTATCCAGGCGTTTCTCATAGTTTATCTCTAACCCTGGGAATCAGCCTGATGGCTTTCATATAGAATGCCTCTAGGTCTCCTTAGTCATGACGACCAGAATGGTATGCAGTAAATGTAGTACTTCTCACTAGAGTATTGTACAGTTTGACCATGAGGATCTGAGTTTGCTTACTTAGCAGTGTAGATCAATGTTCATCTATTTGCCTTGTTCATTGCTGCCTCACACTGTTTGAACATAGTGAGCGATAAATCAATTAACAGCTTCCCCTTAACAAGTTCCATTCACACTATAGAGTACATGTGCCTCCTATTGTTACTTCCTATATGCAGTATTGAACTTCATTTGGCTTGATAAACCTGAGTGCATGTCCTGCCAAACTCTCTTTGTAAGATATTGTCTGCCTCCTCTGATTCCAGTACCGACTAGCTTGGTGTTGTCTGCAAATGTAATCACGTAACACTGAGTCTGTTAATCCAGGTCATTTAGAAATAAGGAGAAATTCCAGAATGGGCCCCTGAATCACTTTAGTTCACCCCCATTTTGTTCTAATTCCCCTTTTAACATTTTAAAACCATTCCTTTAGCCAGTTATGAATCCAAGCCCATGCCTTGCCCTTGATACACCCACAAATATACAGTCAATTCACTTTACAGTATGTTCTATGAAGCGCTTTGAGACATCTAGAAGACGAGAACAGTGCTATATCAAGTGTCAGGATTATTATTATTATACCTGGTTACATCTGTTTGTAAAGGAGTCACAAGGAGTATTTTATTGGAGATCTTTTGGAAAAGTACTTGTACTAGCACAAATGGAGTCCTGTAGCTCAGTGGTTAGAGCACTCGCCTTGCAAGCAAGACACTTGGGTTCAAATCCAGGCAGGGCGAAACCTTGGGCAAGTTTGCTTACTCCACACGCCTAATAATAATCCCTCCAAAACAAAACAATAATAAATTGGTCATTTTCAATCCAAGACTGTTTGTGGGACACTGCTGTGTGCAATTGGCTGCCGCATTTCGCCCACAAATATACGGTCAATTCACTTTACAGTCTATTCTGTGAAGCGCTTTGAGACGTCGAGAAGACGTGAAAAGCGCTATACCAAATGCAAGGATTGTATTATTATGTGGCTTCCATTATCAGATGGGTGTGTTACTCCCTCAGAGTCTCACTTCTACCCCATCTGAATTCATGTGGACTGCTATTTATTAAGTAAGTATATCATAGCCTCATTGAGCTCGTTATCCACTTTGTCTCCAGTAAACATAACTGATCTAGACGAAATATAAATGATGCATGAACTGCACAATATCTATTCTTTAAGGGATTTCAAGACTTAAATCTCATTCAAGCATGGTGAGCAATGAGTCATAACCTACACCTTATGTCTCTTTCATTTCCCCCTTTGCCTCAGATAATAGTTAGGCTTCAATTTCATGGTCTGTGATGTCAGCGTAATCCCCTTGATGACTGTCACTAGTTTGCAGTCACACCCAGGAGTATTAATCATCCTGTATACTATACACAGGACATGGCAAATCACCTGCAGATTCTTTCTCAATACATTTACATGGAGAGGGGGGAGGCAGGGCAAGTAAATTCTCTTCTGAAGAATTCCTACCTTGGAAGAAGTTTTGCTTTTCAGTCCTTAAAAGCGTCTGCCTCCCAACGTGCCCCAGGTCTGACGAAGGGTTGTGGATCCGAACCGTTGACTCACTTTCCTTTCTCCATAGATACTGCCTGACCTGCTGAGTGTTCCCAGCAACTTCTGTTTTTGTTTCAGATTTCCAGCATCCACAGTATTTTGAGTATGTTTCCCTCTCCTTTGGGCCCTGCTCAGCAATACCCTGGCTATGTGAAGCACCTTGAAACATTCATTGTACATGGAAAGCACAACAGGCTGACCTCGGTATAACAAACCCTGGTTATTACGATTCCGGTTATAATAAACTCATCATTGAGACCCATTGATTCTTATCCTGATACAGCGATCATTGAAGGAGCGCGGCCCCTGAAATAACACCCCTGATTAAACTGAACCAACGAACCAATGCATATGTTTTTCACTCATGTTGGTGTTGCATTGTACAGTCAAGTCAAAATGGTGATGGCAGCAACAGCATTTGTATTAATGAACCTCTTACAGTGAGCACACAGATATAATGCTTTTCATTCCAAGGCCCCAGGGTGTTTGATTTTCCAAGGTCAGCCTATATAGTGAAAGTGTAACAAATTGGATTATGACTTTGTATTCAGTTTTCATTTTTTGCTATATTGGCATCTCTTACTCTTTAATTGTTAGTGGACTGTAGGGCTTAATATTAGTTACATGCTAGTACAAAGCAACAATACAATTGGGATTTGTCAAACTTAAGTACAGTATTATCCTCTTGTAAGGGCCTTATTTTTAGGGCTTCATTCTCACTCAGTTTCAAGCTTCTCTCAAATATGAAGCAATGTTGTTTCAGTTAGGTTCAAACTATTTAACACATCATGTTTATTGCCGCAGGGGTGGAAGATAACATCCAGGAAGTAGTAGGACACATCACTGAAGGAGTGTGCAGACCTTTAAAGGTATGGATCGGATATTAAACTTTTAATCTTGCATATTAGAGCTCATTTACAGAGTTCCACACATACACAGCACCTACACTTGGAAATATCTCTGTCTGGTTCTAGAATATACATACGCTCCATTGAGGGACACACCCTGCTTACCTTCGAGAGTCAAGGTTTGGAGGCCCCTGAGTGTACATTAGGTACTGCTTGTAGTTCAACCAGCTAAAACTGCAGAGCTTGCCATTAAAAGCACAGTCTGGCAAGTTTCCACTGCTTGCCCAGCTAAGACCACCCTACTCGTTATGGCTTTGGCTTGCAGGGTTAACAGGAGCTGAGTGGGAACAATATAATAATAATATTAATAATCCTTGCATTTGATATAGCACCTTATCACGTCTTCTAGATGTCTCAAAGCGCTTCACAGAATATACTATAAAGTGAATTGACTGTATATTTGTGGGTGAACGCGGCAGCCAATTGCGCACAGGCAGACATTAAAGATCCCATAGCACTACTCAAAAAGAGAAGGACGAGTTTCTCCCAGCATCCTGGACAACAGTCATCCAAACAAAATTAGTTTTTCAATCCATGGCTATTCATGGGACATTGGTGTGTACAAATTGGTTCCTGCGTTCGTTCACAAAATATACAGTCACACCAGTTTGCAGTATATCCTGTGAAGCTCTTTGAAACGACTGACATAAGGTGGTATATCAAATGCACATATTATTATGTATATATTGCCTTATTGTGTCGTCACGACGTCTCAAAGTGCTTCTCAGGATTTGTTATCCACCCAAGTGAAATGCATTGCCTCACAAACTGTGATACTTAGTTATTTACTTAAATGAAGGATGGGTAGAAGATAATAATATTGCCTTTGGAATTAAACGCTGTTCTCTCAGGCTTTGAGAAGTTCTATGCTTCCACAGAACTGTCAGTTTTTGTAGTTTTCTGAGCAAGAATTATTGTAATTATTTGTTTGGTTGTATTAACCAAGTGACGTACCAGTACGAAACACTGGTATTGTCACACTATTTATTTATCCAGATATCGGTAAAGGCCAATGGCCCGACTGAAGATGGACATAGTTGCAGTTTAGATGTAGTTAGGTCAGTAATTAACCTGTGACCTCAGCGCCAATGTCTCGAAAGATTAATAATGATAATCCTTGCATTTGATATAGCGCCTTATCACGTCTTCGAGATGTTTCAAAGCGCTTCTCAGAATATACTGTAAAGTGAATTGCCTGTATATTTTGTGGGCGAAACGCAGCAGCCAATTGCGCACAGCAGCGTCCCACAAACAGTCGTGGATTGAGTGACCAATTTATTATTTTTTTTGAAGGAATTATTACCTCCAGAAAAGCGATCCGCCAATCAACTAACAACCAGGTTCCTACTTACTGCTAGGTAAACACAGGCATGTGGAGTAAGGAAACTTTCCCATTTCACCCTGCCGAGAATTGAACCCAGATCTCTCACTTGCTAAGCGAGTGCTCTAACCACTGAGCTGCAGGACTCCACTGAGCTAATGGGAACCAATAAAATTGGTCACTCACTTCATGGTTATTTTTTTGGTCATTGTTGTATACAACTTCACTGCCACATTTGCTTACAAATGCACAGTCACCGCACTTCATAGTAAAATCTTGTGAAGCATTTTGAGAAGTCTCAACCAGGTAATAAAGATATATCAAATGCAAGGATTATTTCATTATCTAATAAACTGGTGAACCACGATCGAAGGGTTGAACGGCGTCATTCAGTTTCTGTTTTCCCATATTCCCAACTATTGCAGCCTAAAAACTTTATATAAGTAAATATTTTGCAGCAAATTATCTACTCCTTTAGTTTTGAATTGTAAAAATAGGCAAAAGTCTTTTTTTTGTCTTATTGCAGCCCAAAAACTGCTTCAAATTCTGCTAATTCACGAACTCAGTGTAGCCTTCTTGGTGTTGACATTTTGTGAACTAGTAACATTAGAGATTTAGGACCGTACAACAGTTTTGCCCTCGTTCCAAAAATAATCCCAAGATTTAAATTTTCCATTTTTCCAGCCAGTAATGCAACTGACAATGCGGTCCATTTATTTTATGCAGCGTTTTTGCTTTCATCTGTGCTGAAATATCCAATACAATTTTATAAAATAATACTTTATATAAGTAAATATTTTGCAGCAAATTACTACTTTAGTTTTGAGTTGTAAAAATAGGCAAAAGTTCTTATTTTTTTAAAAAAGGCCATTGTTTAAACGCTTAAAAAGACCGATGTTACTGTAATATCCCTTTAATGTCCTGCACGGTGCTGTGTTACAGGTCCGGATTGAGCAGGTAATTGTCGCAGAGCCAGGTGCGGTTTTACTATACAAGGTCTCCAATCTCCTCAAATTTTACCACCACACTATCAGGTAAGAAAGAGAACAAACCAAATGGCTTTAATTACTAACACCTAGATGTTTTTGTGGAGACTTAGCTCAGGTGGTACATCTGAAATTTGGATAAGCTGATCTCGATTTTCTTTTAAAATGAGTGGGTAAGACTAATTAAATTGAAAAGTGAGACTAATGATGCAAGCGTGTTTTGTACCCTCAGATGTTCTCAGTTGTTTATAGTAAGCAAAACTGTGTGTTGAAACCAAAATGAAAATGTTTCCAGTAATACTTAACTGCAATTTGTGATGGACCTGATTTTGGCAGCCCACCTGGTCAAGGATGTCCTTCAGTGCCCTCAGCTTGTCTGTTATCTCCTTATTTGTGATCGCTGTTTATTTCAGGTATTCTGCACAACAGCAGACGGGAAAGCATATACTGTATTTTAGGACACACAGCTTGAGGGATAGAGCACATGTTGCTAGATATCATAACGGCCTTGTACAAAGCTTTATACAGTTTAGACACTGGGACCCAATCCGTGAGAGTCGTTGGAGAGGGTGCAACAACAAGAACTGGGAATATTTCCTTTGGAGAGGGCTAAGGGAGAATTTATTGAAGCAATACGATTTTTAGTTGTGAAAAGAGGCCTTTTATTATAGTATAATAATATTATTATATTCTTGGGTGGCTAGGGGTGGGATTTTAAAAAGGAATATAAGATTCTAAATGGGTTTAAGAATGTAAACCCAGAAGAATACTATCAGATGTGGCAAAGCAGCAGGTCTGGAGGCCTGTGAAGGGCAATTTCATGAGGCCGAGCTCAGAAAGTATTTAGTTACAAAGAAGGTAATTAATGCCTCAAACAGGTTGGCAGAAAGGTTGATTGAGGCCAGGAGACATTAAAAAAGCATTTTGATGCTGTAATGGGAATGCAGTAGAGATGGGTATTCTAGAAGGATGAGATCAAATGGGACAGAGGGCTTTCTTATTATGAACCTTTCTTATGAAGTTTTCAGATCCTACACATTACAGATAACTGGTAATAGGTTTGGTATTGTAGAAAATAACTAGGAGTTCATGGCCTCAAGCTCAGAAGTGTGAATATGATCAGATGTTTTCCGCCTCTGTGTAAGGTATTTGAGTTGAAGAACAATTTTCCCAAGAAGGCAAGGGAGACAAATAGTATTGGTTCTTTCAAGAAGGAATCACATGGGTTTATACAGGGTGGAACTTTAATTGATGATGTATGTGGGACAGATAGCATTGTTTTTAGAGGAAATTTAAAGAGATAAACTATAATAGTCCTATCCAGTCCCCCACATGTTCCTACAACTTGTTTTTGAACCAACAGCGGAATTGTAGGAAATTGTGCTGCCACTTTGCTGACAACTATTGAAGAAATGCACATCTTAAGCAAAAAAATGTTCTTCAACAGTCTGAGTCTTCACGCCAGCAAACTCATGGACAAGGTGAGGTTTAGGAGCAACATCTGCCCTTGCAGTGATATATGCAACAGAAGCTGTGCCAGTAAAAACTAACCCGCGCCTAAAGACAGCATCTGGCCCCGCGCGGTTTTGAAATATTTTCTGTGCTGTACATTCCTTTTAATGTTATTGCAAAAAAAGGTATGCTTTGTAAATGAAGCAGATGGAACGCAACGAGGATTATTTTAGAAAGTGCAGCTATCATCATCATTTCAAATGCAATAAAATGCAATAACAAGGTTCGCAAAAAAAGGCTCTGCATTGTTCCTGGATAAAGGTGGGTTTTCCATTTGTCCATTTCTTAATTTTTTTTTAAAAAACTTTCAAACGGACACATTCCAAAACAATTAGCACCTTAGGCTTGACTACGTCTTTCAGAAATTGTTGAGAATGTATACCATACTAATTACACTTTTGACACAGCACAGCAATGTTACAAAAAATGAACTGACTACCAGTGTTGCTTGTGCGTGCCAAGTTAGAGGTACAGTGCGAGGTTTGGGCCAATATTAACAAGAACGGAGGTAGCAGGCTCCCCAAAGGGCAGACCAGCAGAAGAGATCCTTCTTTCCAAAGAGTTTGGGAGTGAATTGAGCGAAGTAGAGAGATTAATGGGTACTAATCTGTGTCATTTTGTTATACTTTGTTCATCTTGTTGCTTTGTAACAGCTAATTCCCGGAGCACGATTGGAAAGGGAGAAGGGAGTTTCTCCTGATGTCCTGGCCAAAAATCTCCCAGAGTAATTGGTAATTCACCTCAGTGCTGTTTGTGGGCCCATGCCAGGAGTTTGAAAGGCTGCCCTTCAATAAAGAAATGGGACATGGCACGCAAGAGCCTTAAGGAGAGGACAGCTCTTTTTAAAAAAAGAAACTCTGTGACGCTGAAGAAAACAGTAATAATAACTCTGCTCAAATGTCAGAATCATTGAATGTTACAGCATTGAAACGGGTTATTCGGACCATCATATCTGCACTGGTGTTATTCTCCACACAATGCCGTGTGCGGAGAAAAACAAACCTAAATTTTTATGTTTTAGTTATTATGAGCTGGTACGAGTGCAGTGAGTATATACTGACAGTGTCTCCTTCTCCTACATACATAGCAAGACGATGCGCCTTTAAGTCATAATCTTATTTGCACGATAATGTCAATCCCTTAATCTATTGTTCCGTATTGCATTAATCTCTTTATCGCATTATTCCACTCAAATAATCCATCTGTTTATGTCACACGCAGATCACTTTACATCCCATTAAATCGATTTAAATCTGTCATTTTATCTTGAAAAGAATACTGTGAATAAAAGAATTTTGGAAAAAATACAGAGAGCCCCTCCCAGGACGTAAAAGTTTGCACACTGGGGCCGCGATTTTGATGTTTGAATGTTAATTAAGATTGCTTTAGGTCACAATTTTTGCTGTATTCTGTTGAGTTACAAAAATTATCCAAGCATTGTATTGCAACATAAGAACACAAGAACATAAGAATTAGGAGCAGGAGTAGGCCATTTGGCCCCTCGAGCCTGCCCTGCCATTCGATAAGATCATGGCTGATCTTCTGACCTAACTCTAATTACCTGCCCTATCCGCATATCCCCTAATTCTTCTATTTTTAAGAAAATCTATCAGTCTCAGCCTTGAAAATGTTCAAGGACTGAGCATTTACAGCCTTCTGGGTGAAGAAATATTTCCTCAACTCTGTTCTAAAAGGCTGACCCTTAATTTTAAGACTGTGACTCCTGGTTATAGATTCTCCTACCGGGGAAACAGACCTTCAGTGTCCACTTTATCAGCCCTTTAAAAATCTTATATGTTTCAATAAGATCTCCCCTAATTCTTCTGTACTCTAGAGAATACAGCCCTAGTCTATTCAGCCTATCCTCATAGGTCAGGAACTAACCGAGTGAATCTACGCTGCACCCCCTCTAAGGCAAGTATGCCGTTCGCCTTCTTAGTTGTTTGCTACACCTGCAAACTAACTTTTTGAGACTGGTGTACAAGGACACCCAAATCCCTCTGAACACTGACACTATCTAATCTCTCCCCCGCTACAAAATAATCTGTTTTTCTATTTTTGCTACCTAGGTGAATAACTTCACACTTCCCCACGTTAAATTCCATCAACCACCTACTCGCCCACTCCCCGAGCCTATCTATAGCCCATTACAATCTATTTGCATCATCCTCAGAGCTTACTCTCCCACCTAGTTTAGTGTCATCCTCGAATTAAGATATGTTACATTCAATGTCCTCGTCTAGATCATTGATGTAAATTGTAAATAGCTGAGGCCCAAGCACTGATCCTTGTGGCACTCCAATAGTCACATCCTGCCAATTCGAGAATGACCCGTTTATCCCTACTCTCTGTTTTCTACCCGTTAGCCACTCTTCAATCCATACTAATATGTTCCCATTAATCCTGTGGGCCTTAACCTTGTGCAATAGCCTTTTGTGTGGGCACTTCGTCAAATGCCTTCTTAAAATCTAAATATACTACATCTATTGGTTCCCCCCTATCTAACCTGCTGGATACATCTTCAAAAAACTCTAAAAGATTAGTTAAGCATGACTTCCCTTTTGTAAAGCCATGTTGACTCTGCCTAATCTTGTTATGGTCTTCCAGGAATCCCATAACGACATCCTTAATTAAGGACTCAAGAATTTTCCCTACCATTGATGTCAGACTAACTGGTCTATAGTTCCCCATCTTTTCCCTCCCACCCTTCTTAAATAGTGGTGTTATGTTTGCAATCTTCCAATCAATGGGAACTGTTCCAGAATCCAGAGAGTTTTGGAAGATCAAAGACAAGCCATCCACTATCTCAGTAGCCACCTCTTTTAAAACCCTAGGATGTAGGCCATCAGGTCCAGGAGATTTATCAGTTTTAAGACCTGACAATTTACCTAAAACCATTTTTTTACTAATATTAATTTCCCCAAGTTGCTCGCTAACATTGTCTTCTTGGTTCCCCTCTATCCTTGGTAGGTTTTCAGCGTCTTCTAAGGTGAAGACAGTAGCAAAGTTTAATGACTCTGCCATGACTCCTCTACTATAATTCCCCCCGTCTCTGCCTCTAATGGACCCACATTTACCTTTGACAGCCTCTTCCTCTTTATATATTTGTAAAAACTCTTGCAGTCTGTCTTTACGTTCCTTGTTAGTTTGCCCTCATATTCCATTTTCTCCCTCTTAATCACTTTTTTGGTTCTCCTTTGTTGATCCCTAAAGTTCTCCCATTCCTCGGGTTTACTACTCATCTTAGCTGTTTTATAGGCTTCTTCCTTTAACTTTATACTTTCCCTAACTGCTCTAGTTCGCCACGGTTGGGCCATCTTTTCCTTTTTTTTGAATAAGTTTCAATTCTTTTAATCATTTGAAAGTTCACATTTGATTCATGGATAGGAAATGATGACAAACTGGAATACAGTAGATACACATCTGGCAAATGGACTCACATAAACCACTGGAAAAGAAACTTCACACACGTGGAACACAAATTTCACTTAACTTGATCCCTTTTGAGTATAAGGACAGCAAACCCTCAGCTTGGCCTGCCCATATCCTATCGTGACTCAAACTATCCAAGCTTGAAGCTGTTGCATCTGTCCTGGTAGACAGTCATGTTATCCCAGAAATCTTCACCTGTGTTTATCCAGGCTGGCATTGAGCACAACAGAAATGGCTTGGGCATTCTTATTTAAAAGAGGCTTCAATCCACCAAATCTGATTTTCAGCAACTTTTAAGCCTTAAGCTACAAAGTTTGTTAATAGTTTCCTGAATACTCTGCAATCTCATGCAACATCAAATACACAGTCACTACACTTCACAATAAAATCCTGCGACATATTTCAACAATATCATATGGTAAGGTATCAAATGCAACAATATTATTTGATCGAGTAACATGTGCAAATTATTTTTTTACAGTGATCATAATATCGCCCACAAAATAGTCAATTCACTATTGCTGATGAGTCAGGTAGTTTCTCGCTAGTATTTCCTATGTTGTGAAACATGATTTTTGCTTACTCCTGCTCCATGAAAATGTGTAATAAATATGTCCTATAGAAGATAAGAGCTGTAATTTGAAGACAAGAGGTACGGGGACTATTGTCACATGATCTTTTGTTTTGGTAGTTTAGCTCATGCTTCATTAAACTCAAAATTAACATCTCAATTTCAATTCACTCAGGTTGAACTTCCACCGGCTGACCTGGGACCCACCACTGCACTGAACCACACCTTATCCCTATTGCGTGAGGTACTTTCCTCTCATGATTCCTCAGTTGTGCCACTGGATGCACGGCAGGCAGACTTTGTCCAGGTAATAATTGGCTTCATGTAGCAATATCCCAAATAAAATCACTCATTCCATACGCAACGTAGGCATCAGGTTCAACCCCCAATTGTCCTTCCTCCCCCACATCCGGTCCCTCACCAGCACTGCCTTCTTCCACCTCCGACGCATCACCCGTCTCCGCCAATACTTCTCCCCAAAAGCCGCTGAAACCCTGGTCCATGCCTTTGTCACCTCTCGGCTGGACTACTCTAACGCCCTCCTCGCCGGTCTCCCATCCACCGCCATCCATAAAATCCAAATCATTCAAAACTCTGCCACCCGCATTCTCACCGCACGAAACTCTGCTCCCCGATCACCCCAATCCTTGCCAGACTGCACTGGCTGCCTATCCCAGAGAGGATCGATTTCAAGATCCTCACCCTTGTATTCAAGTCCCTGCACTCCTCTGCCCCCCCCCCCCACCTTTCTGACCTCTCTCCTCAAAACAGTACCCGTTGCCTCCGATCCTCCGGGTCTGACCTCCTCCTCGTCCCCCGAGTCCTCCGCTCCACCCTCGGCGGCCGTGCCTTCAGCCACTATGCCCCGAGGCTCTGGAACTGCCTTCCTCACTCCATTACTGTAAAGCGCTCTGAGACACTGTCCGGCGTGGAGGGCGCTATATAAATCCAAGTTGTTGTTGTTGTTAGCTGTTTGCGGAACATTGCTGTTTGCAAATTGCCAGCTGACATGGAAGAGCTAGTTCAAATAAGAATTATTATTATTAATAATTGTAATAATAACAACTAATAACATATGTACACCTATTATTACTACTAATAAGTGGTATACATATCTTATTACTTGGCTTTTTTAAGACCCTTCTGAACATAAAATTGTGTCTTAACTGAAGCTTCATTATATTCAGATGTGGAAGCCTTTTTGATGGTTTTAACATTATATCCTTAAGCAATAAATATGTTTTACTCCATACCAAGATGAGGGCACAAGACCTATATATTGAAAGTTCACAATACACATCATATACTAGTACCTTGGTATGGCTTTGGCCATAGTAGACCATCACAGTTGACCGACTCACCCAATTTGTCTTTGATTCTTTCGATGCAGCTACCGCTACATTAACTTGTAAATTGTCAGTGGCTTGTGGAGTTCGTTTATGAAATTCTCTGAAGTTTAACAATCGGCAAGCAATATAAGAGCCCAAATAAAATTTGTCATGGCTGTTTGTGAGACATTACTGTGCGCAACTGGCTGTCATGTTTCACCCACAAAATATAAGTCAAACCACTTTACAGTATGTTCAGTGAAGCGCTTGAGACATCTCCACAACATGATAAGGTGCTATATCAAATGCAAGGATTATTATTATTAGTAGTAGTAGTAGTATTAAATCTACAGTTTTCTATAATGGTAATGCTGAACTGCAGTGTTCATGAACTTTCATGGTGCATCTTTCACTTCAGTCGTGTTGTGTAAAAAGAGTTTGTAGTTGAAATTGTAGTTATGACAACTACCTTTGAAATATTTTACTATCTGTTACTAGGTGCTCTGCTGTATAATGGACCCTCTGTTACAGTTGTGCACTGTATCAGCCAGCAACCTCGACACTGCAGACATGGCAACCTACATGGTGAACTCCCTGTACATGATGAAGACTACTTTGGCTCTCTTTGAATTTACTGATAAGCGGCTTGAGATGCTTCAGTTTCAGGTACATCTGTCAACCCTCATGAGTGGAATAGCAACTGTAATTAGAGTGCTTTTAGCCCTGGTAGATATATGTCCTTCTAGGTTGACCTAGCATACATTTGTACTTTAACTTGCAAAGTCAACAATGTCATCAGTTGCAGCTGATGTGTAAATTACAAACAGTCCTTACTGCTTATAGCCCAGTAATGTGCCGAAGCAGTTAAGATATTTGCACTGTTTGGGCACTGGAGACTTTGGGGTATTATTTTGCTGACGAGACAGAAATAGTTTGATAGAAGTTTTTAAATGAATGGTTGAAGTCACAGTAGTAGAGTACCATTATTTGTCTCATTTTCCAGCATATTTGCTTGTGAGTCCGGTCACAGGAGAAGAATAACAACAAAATTACGTTTGTATAGCACCTTTAATGTCGGGAAGACGTCCCAAGGCGCTGGAAACTCAGTGTTTCGGAGCCGAGCTGGGGGTCGGGGAGGTTGGAGGGCACGGGTGGAAGCAGGGTAATCGAAAGCACGGTTGAAGAGGAGGGCCTTGAGATGGGTTTTGAAGGAGGCAAGGGAAGGAGCAAAGTGGAGGAACTGCGGGATGGAATTCCAGAGGGTGGAAGCGGAGTGATAGAAGATCCACCCACCAATAGTAAGATGAGTGAGGCGGGGGACGTGAAGCAGGCCGGAGCCCACTGAGCGGAGGGAGCGGGCAGGATGTTAGGGGGTTAGGATGTTGCAGAGGTAGGGGGGAGCAAGACCACGGAGGGCTTTGAAGGTGAGGACCAGGATCTTGATTGTCCTTGATTGTCCGGTGCTGTCCTTGGTTGGTTCAGATTGTACCTCTCACACCACCTGCACTTTATCCCCTCAAACAGCTTTTCCTCTAGCCCCCGGATCGTCTCGTGTGGCATTCCTCAGGGCTCTGTCCTTGGTCCCCTCCTCTGCAATATCTATATACTCCCTCTTGGTGACATCATCCACAGACATGGGGTCAACTTCCACATGTATGCGGATGACACCCAACTCTACCTCTCTGCCTCCACCCTTGACTCCAGGACCACTGCTGTGCTGACAGAATGTCTGTCAGACTTTAAGTCCTGGATGAAAGCCAACTTTCTTCAGTTGAACTTCAACAAGACCAAGGCTCTCCTGATTGGCTCCCGTCAGCGTGTTCTCACCTCAGGCGCTGAAAGTATCACCATCCATGGTTGAACACTCCACTTTGCTAAGCCAGTCCGGAACCTTGAGGTCTTGTTTGACCTTCAACTATCCTTTCTACCCCATATCTGTGCCATGACCCGCTCTGTCTCCCCCCCACCTCTGCAACGTCGCCCGGCTCCTACACTGTCTCCCCCCGCAGGCCGCCGAAACCCTCATACACGCCATCTTCAAGACCCACCCCAATTCCCTCCTTTTCGACTGTGCTTTCGGCCTCCCTGCTTCCCCCCCCCCCGCCCTCCACCTCTCCACCCTGACCCTCAGTTTGGGTCCGCAACTCTGTCTGTCCCACGCCTTGGGACATTCTCCCGACGTGAAAGGCGCTATACAAATGTAATTTTGTTGTTGTTGTTGTTGAACTGTGTTCTTGATGGGAATGAATGCATGTGTGAGGTTTTCGGCGGCTTGCATTGGATGGTAAATCTGTGTCAGGTTTATGGAAGGGAAACCCGCTAGAAAAGATTGTTCCATTGATATCTGACTTGAAATTTATATTTCACAATCTAAATGCAGCTCAGATAAGAAATGATCTGAGGTAACTTATCCAAACGTTTATTCTTCCAAAACCCCCTTTGAACACCTCTTTCTTTGACCTTAATACGGGATCCCAATAGAATTCCTGTTTATCCAGGGGAATTCTGCTCTGGAAGTGGATGGCATGATGAACATCCGACCACCGAGAGGAGGTCACTGCCTCTCCGCTAGACTCCGCCACTGCCTCACCCCTCAGGCTGCCGAAATCCTCACCCACGCATTCGTCACATTAAGGCTCGATTACGGGAACTCCCTCCTCATCGGCCTTCCCTTCCCTTCACAAGCTGCAGATCATCCAAAACACTGCAGCTTGTGTCCTCTCACGCACCAGGCTCCGTGACCCCATCACTCCCACCCTCATCCGACTCCACTGGCTCCCCATCCCCCAGAGGATCGAGTTCAAGATCCTCGTCCTCACCTTTAAGGCCATCCATGGCCTTGCCCCCTCCTACCTCTCTGACCTGCTGACTCCCTACCAACCTGTCCACTCCCTCCGCTCATCGGGCTCCGGTTGCTCCATGTCTCCCGCCCAAACCGCCCTACCATCGCTGGCCGGGCTTTCAGCCTCTCTGCGCCCACAATCTGGAACTCCATCCCACAGTCCCTTTGCCTCGCTTCCTCTCTTGCCTCCTTCAAGGCCGGTCTCAAGACCCTTTTCTTCGACCGTGCCTTTGGTCTCCCACCCACCTTTCTGCCTTCCCTCACCCCTACACCACCCCTCCCCCACGCTCGGGCCCCGACACCTGACTGTTCAGCACTTTGGGATATCCTCCCGATGTGAAGGGCGCTCTATAAATGTAATTTTGTTGTTGTTGTCACAATAGCAATGACTCTCTAAGGAATTTGGTTAAATTCTTTAAGTTAGACCTAAATGACTGGATAAATTCAGTGAATAATCAATAATTCCACCCAGTGATCTCCCACCACTAATGGATTTTTGTTTATTCTGTACATTGCCGTCGAAACTCCCAGCTTAAATTCCAATTGCAATTCTTCAGAAGATCACAAAATTGGTTTGAATGAGGATGATCCTCTAGCCCATCCAATCCCATCCTTCCAGAACACCCAGCCTACTGTCCCCCTCCATCACGGCATCAATTTGTTTGTTAAATTAGTTTTGGCCTCAGCCACCCTTCCTGGCAACCCGTTCCAGTCATTAGTTACACCATGAGACAAGAAAAACTTCCTATGTACTCTTGTTGCATCCTAAAGTATTGATCTGATTCATTTTTTTCAATCCCATTTAAAATCTTATGCAGTCATCTTCTCTCAAGGCTGAAGAGCCGTAGGTTGTCTCATCATTGCTCATAACTCATTCCTCTCATACTAGCGATCATACTCGTTGCTCTTGCCATCTATTTAATTTGTCCAGATGCCTTTGAACAAATGACAGTAACACATTTGGTGCTAAAACTGTTTCATATTTATGAATTATGTAGATGGCGCAATCCACCAGCATTGCACTGCTCTTTACTCCCAAGACGAAGCTTTTTCCATTGATAGACATCCTCTGTTTCCTGTTGCTGGGCCAATTTTCAATCAAGTAAAGCTACTTTGCCATAAATTTCATGTGGCTTTATCTTCTGCAAAAATCTCCAACGTACGTTATGTAGTGTCTTTAGAAAATTTTATATTATACTAAATCGACAAAAACATGCCTCATCCATTAATATATTTTCCTCAAAATATTCAGATTTTTGGAGCAAGATCTATTCCTTCTAAAACCTTGCTGATATCCTTTGTGGTCTCTCTGGTCTTCAGATGTATTGTGCAATGTAATGGAATGCAGCATTGTGTAAAATTCCTCGGAGCATTTTCTCCATATCAGTTTTAGGCAGACTAAACGGTCTGTAATTCTCCAATTCATGACTTTTTGAATACTGGGCTCACATGAGCCACACTCCAGTCCCAATGTACAGCGTCTGTGTTTATGGAGCTCGTAAAAATATTAATTGGAACCTCACCTATTTCCTCTCTCATTTCCTTGAGCCTTCCAGGGTGTATCCCAAATGGCTTAGAGCCCTGTTGACAGTTAATTCTTTGAATGCTTTACTAACCGCTACATATGTCCCAGATTGCAAAGTCAGTTCAAGTGCATCTAGAATTTGCTCATAGATTTAATTTGTGAAGATGAACGTGAAGCACTGATTTTAACTCCAATCTCTTGCTTCCTGATCTCTTTATTGCTTCAACCTCATCACTTAAAAAGGTACATTACCTGGACGTTAGTGCACTGCCTGCTTTGGCTTGCGGCTTATAAACATCCTTTGGTTCTCTTGATCTAGAATGTGGCGGTTTCAAATGGAATTCCTTAATGAAAGAATCTGTCAGTATTGACACCCAAGACCTTCCTCCAACACAATACATTTTGGGAGTTCCGTGACTTATTTACGATTGCTAGTAGGAATCACCGCTCAGGTTCTGAACTCAAGGAATCCAGTTGAAATAGCCTTGATGCTGTTTTCTTTACTCCCTTCTAATACTTGGGATGTCCTCCTGACGCGAAAGGTGCTCTACAAATGTATTTTTGTATAGCACCTTTTGCCTTGGGACGTCCTCCCGACGTGAAAGGCGCTCTATAAATGGAATCTTGTTGTTGTTGTTGTACTGTACTTTTGCATAGAACTCAAAACATTTTACGTTGAGAAATAACCTTGGTTGGTAATATAGGAAAGTACATAGTTCTAAGTATTTTTACAAAGGATGAAAAAGTTGCACAGTGTATGTAGGGCCGAAAATCATTAAGTAATGATCCTCAATTGACCTTTTATATGTTTCCCAGTCAAGGATTGTTTTCTCTTAAATACTCTGTTACGCAACATTTCCTTACTCAGCTACTTACTCTTGTTCTGCCCTACCACATTGCTGAAAGTAATCTTTGATCATTTCAACTTTTCTTCCATTGCTCAAGGTCACCTCTTACTCAATCATTTCCAGTATCTGCCTTGCAACCCCAAGGTTTCTTAAGAAAAAGGAACTTGCATTATTATAGCATAACACTCGTAATGAAATGTCTCAAAGCATAGTTACTGTCTCATAGGCAAATGCAGCAGCAGTTTGCGCCACAGCAAAGTCAAACTAACAACCTTGATGCGAATGACCAATTATCTGGGGAACTGTTGGCCAGGACAGCTGGGAGAATCTCCTTTCTCCTTTCGAATATTACAATGGAATTTTTATCATCCATCTAAGAACAGGCAGACAGAACTTTGGTTTAACATCTCATCTGAAGGATGAATTTCTGGCTTCCTAGAAGTGCACTGGATTGTCAGATTTTTGTTTCTTCTGCTTGAGTGTAACTACTTTAACAATGTGCACTTGTGGGATTTTCAACTCCTGTTTAGCTGAACAGATTTATTTTGCCAGTTTCTATAAATCGTTCCACACTCCCTTTGCTCTAAGCCTTCAGCCACCGCACTCGTGCGCTTGAGAATTCGCCTTTCAAACGCACTCTCCTAAACTTCTGAAAAAGATATTTCTTCAACCGTTCATTTCCTATAATTCTTTAATTTCCCTGCTCAGTGTCCACCACTACATTTGGCTAGCAGTTTGAGACTATGTTATGTAAAGACACAATGCAAATGCAAGCTTTTATAAATTCAATTCTCTTTTATATCAGCTGTTTCAGTAATTACAAATCACCATGTCTTGAGCACATTTGGTGGCCATTGTTAAATAGTTTCACTGGCATAGGATAAACTGCTCTACAGTACAATACAGTTTCCATATGGTTATACATGTCCCTTCCCTTCGGGTCTGAAATGCTGTACTCTTCAGCACTTTGGGACGTCCTCCCGATGTGTAAGGTGCTATGCAAATGTAATCTTATTGTTATTGTCAGGAACACATCTCAAAACGCTTACTGGATAAACCTCCACTTGGGAACAATGGTGGAGACTTTAGAGGCAGTTACAGACTCAGAAGAACAAATACTCCATGAGTCACAATGGTTTTGTGCTGCTCGGTCTGAGCGCAGAGTTGGAACGTTGTCTGTGGAGGGAAGGTTTCATCAGTGGAAATGTGGGGATGGAAAATGTGGGGATGGAAAAAGTACAGAAAAATATTCTGTACTTTTTACTCAATAGCCTGGACACAGTTTGGTAGTTAGTAAGAAATGTGTTTGATGTGTCTCAATACATGTTCTTTTATTAATGGAGCAGTTTTACATCTATGGTACAGTTTTTACATCTATGATCCAGTCGCTGAAATTAGCATTTCTTTTCGTCTAAAAGACAATAGGACTAGTAATACTAGTGAGCATTGTTTCTGTAGCAGATCTATTCTTTGATTCCCCTCACATTGCAAGTAATTATACTATGGACTTGTGGGCATTTTGAAAGTGCGCAATGTATGAACTCTGTTTTCCCTGTCATGTAGAAGAGCTTCTAATTCCTTTCTAATCGTTATTTTGATTTTGTTTGTGCAGATTGAGGCCCACTTAGACACGTTAATAAATGAACAGGCATCGTTCGTATTAACAAGGCAGGATTGAGTCATATTTACAACAGCGTACAGCAGTACAAACCAGAACAGGCAAGTACAGGTACTTGTGCAAGGGATGGACCATTTTGGATTCATTGAAGGATCATGCAATAATTGAGGATTTGCATTGTTAAAACCCTTTTTTTGTTCTTGTATTAGGGTCCCTTATCTAACCTGCCTAATGTGGACAGCGGATCGCTAAAAGCTGCTATGGTGAGTGTGAAATAAAAGAAAAGTACAAATGAACAAGAAAGTACTGCAATTTTATATTTACGACACAAGAACAATTCTTTCATCATCGTATGCACATCAGGCACAACCAGATGATACCACATTGATAAGACAAGCACTTGTCTCTTCTGCCCACTTCAGTTGTGTGGTGATGGTAAAGGAATTGCAGTTAATGAGAGTGGAATCAGGGGATTGGGAACAAAGTATTCAGACAGGTCCCCCAGCCTCCCCTACTATTATTTTGTTAGTGGACAATGAAAGAAATTTGGTTTCACAAGATTCGGGCGAGTCCCTAAGTTACCACACAGTTATGATATTTACACCATGGGTACCAACACAACTCAGGATTTCTAACTGTGAAGGTTGCAGCGTCACTAACAGCGATGCTCAAGATCCCCATGACACAGAGCTGCCTTCACTGCAATGATGTAGTGATGGATTGGGACAACTAAGAATGGAATGGTGGCAATACATTGTCACGGGCAGTGAATCTTAGAGGAAAGGTGATGGAGGAGCATTGTGTGAAAGGCATTAGAAAGATTGAGGCTGTGTTGGGGTCAGATAGAATTACATTGGTGACTTTGAGCAGAGCAATATCAGTGCTGTGGGCCAGTGGGAAGCTGAATGGAGAGTCTGCCACAGAGAATGTTGAGAGGTGTTGGTGAGCTCATAATAACTGGGTGACGACGGTGTTGAAAATGCAATATTCACAATTAGGAAGTCCCTGTGCTAGGAGCTGCTTGGATTGCAATCATAGTTGCATTTTACTTCTGAGTTGTTTATCAACCAACAAAAAGACTAAATACCGTAACAACAATCAGGCTTTCAGCACCAGAATTCCTTTATGCGTTTTTAAAGAGAATTTCATAGCAAACTCACCCCCATTTTCGTTTGTGAACTGGATGTTGTTTTGCAGCAAGCAAAGCGCATTTTCAACCTCATTATTAGCCAGGAAGGGGCTGAGAAATGGTGGGTGGTTTGATAGTCAGAAATACTATATTTTTGTATTTCTGTATGAACTTTGTTCGTCACTAGCCACCTGCACATTGTAAACAGTGTAACCTGCCTCTGACTTCAGCTGTACATTAACTATTGTTTCTGTAAAAAGGATGGGGGTGCAGGTTTATTCTGTGCCACACAGTGCTCTTAGCATTCTTAAATCGTGCTGGAATTTCAGCACGACAGAAATGCATTTCATTTTGGTTACACTTTACACTGGGGTCTAATGTGCGGTATTTCTTAACTGTATCCTTTATTCAAGTCATGTCAGTGTGGATTCCTTCCAATAACATCACGGGAATTCCACTCCAACTTGGTCGGCTCTGGTGCAGAGTTCCCATCAGTCAACGGGATTCTAATGAGATTCCTTAAAGCCTGTTACGAAATACTGCAAATTAAATCCCACTGCTAAAGAGAACAAAAAATGGCTCAGTGATTAAAATTCAACGTTGTATTTTGATTCCAGTAAATCTCACATATCATTTACTTTTGAATATCACATTTTAAGTGTGCTTGATGTTTACGCTCTGCTGCACATTAAAAATGAATGCGCGGGCAGGTTTTGTGAAAGCAATTTTTACTCTGAAATTTGCTTTATTTTTAATGGTAAGCCTTTCTCCGAATCATCAACTTCCTTCCAGCCAGCAGGTATACAGGCCTGTATTGAAGTGATTCCAAAGCACTCCCATGCTCAAGTAACACACACAGTGCGATACACACTGAATAGAGAGCACATCATGTTGCTTTTGAATCGGTCACCGAGATTAGCATGGATACTGTGCAGCGCCTCCTGATTAATACCATGAGCGAGAGTGTTGTGGATGTGGAGCCAGTCACACAGGTTGGCTCTGTCAGTTGGTCTCCTGGTACATTTAGACTTCTCATCATGTATGATTATAGTTTCCATATCGTTTCAGAAATGGCCTTACAAACAACAGATTTTACATGATATTGTCATGTGTGCTAAGAAAGAGAGAACTTTCAAGATCATAGTGTGAACTTAAATATCCACCTGAACAGGCAGACAGCACCTTTGCCAATGCATGACTCCCTCCATTATTGAGTTAGATTGTCATCCTTGTCTATGAGCTCAAATCCCAATATAGATTCATTGCTTTTCAAATAAATTATTTTTGCTAATGATTTCAAACTTTTTGTGAAACATGTAACTGTTAACATATGTAGAGTGCTGGAGATTAAAAAGCAGTATCAGTTGTTTCATGGTAATTACTTGGAAGTGTGGTTGGTGACTTTTTTCTAAGCAAAGACCCTTTTGCAAACTGCAAGGCTCAACAAAAATCCATGAGTGAACAATTCAGCTAGATTGTTTACCAGGACTCTGGAAGAAACTCCCTTTTCTATTTGAATATTGTTGTGGGAGCTTAAATATCTGCCCGCACAGGCAGACAGGACCTCAATTTAATGTCTCATCTGAAGGACAGCACCTTTGACAATGCACGACTCCCCCCATGATTGTGCTGGATTGCCATCCTGTTGAGTTTGCATCCCAGTATAGGTCTGGATCCCACAACCTCCTAACCCAGAGTCAAGGATGCTATCAACTGAACCAAGCTGCTATAAGATAGATGTTCTTTTGTGGTCAGCTGCTCAAAAACTGCCAGCATGGTAAAAATGAAACTGCTTTCTAATTTACTGCATGCCAGAGCCAGTTTAGCTGCAAACTACCCCAGGGTATGTTGAATTTGATTTGAAGGGAACGTTCCCTGAGGCATGTCATTGTCTTTGCACGATGACAAAAATATATTTGCCTTTGCATTTTATCATGCCAGGACTTCATGCATGAGTCAAATCAATCACTGTATTCCTGTTTCCCACCTCTTCTCTCCACCACTTGCACAGTGGAGGAGATTGGGGAATCTATTAATAAGGCATCTTTTGGAAAGAATAGAATTGCATTTTTGAAGTGGTGTAAAGAGAGTCTGAGTGTCCAAACGTGTTTCAATTTCCACTGTAAGTCTGACCACACTTAAAAATCTGTTGTCTAGTCACTGTGGAGAGGAAATGGCCTCAGGAACTGTGCGGTGCCATATGAGGCCATTTCCTTCCTGACATGCCTGATGGAAATCAAGCACACCAAGCACAGAAAGATTGAGAAAATGGATTTAATTTACTTTATTAATATTTACTTACATATTTAATACCCTGATAATGTTTTTATAGCACTGGAATGGTATGTGATGTGGTTTTCTGTTGCTAAGTGTAGAGTTTAATTTGGAGATGCAAAGAATTTTCATATACATATGAAAGGAATGGACAATACATTTAGCATTGGCTAACAGGACCTTTGTTAGACTCAGTTTATGAAACATGGTATTGAGGGATTGAATTTTGCAGCGTTTTCCTGACTAAAGATCCAGAGCAGAGCTGGGTCAAACCAGTTCCTCAGAAGTACAGAATCACAGCAGAAAACTATCAAATTAGCACCAAATTGTCCATGTCATGCAGAGAGAGGCCATCAGGATAGGTGTTGTGGGATATGAGAATATTTTCACTGGTGCACTGCCGGTGGGTAAGATGCATTGTGAGAACAGAGCAAAGAGACATGTATTTTCCATATAGTGTGACCTACAACTGCTTAACCAGGGTCTGTGAAGAAAGGGGTTCTCTGCTTGTCAGTGTATTTTGATACTGATGTGAACTTGTACAGTCATTCATCTCCTTACACCACAATATCCTTTTTTTATTATTATAGGCCTTGTTTCACAGATATAGACATTAGAAAATGTTCTTTATTTTGCGACCGATGATATAAACTTCAATTACTTTTACTGGTCCTGTGCATTCCAATGTTCTCCAAGTCCATGACAATGTCATATTCTATTTAGGTCCAATTTGATCGCTACCTGTCATCACCAGATAGTCTACTAATGCCTCAACTGAATTTTATCTTGAGTGGGACATTAAAGTAAGTATCCGAAAGATTCATTGCTTTTCAAGTAAATTACTTGAACTGATGACTTTAACCCTTTTTGAGGAATGTGTAACTGTTAGCATACACAGTACTTTACTAGCGAAGGAATAGTATACATAAAGGATAAGTTTTGCCGTGTTTAATAAAAGCAGCGCTTCAGAAACAAATGCATTAAGAGCTTCCTAGGCTTGCTAGTGCAGATTTGTATTCATGCTGGCATGTGATAAAAATATAATAATCCTTGCATTTGGTATAGCACCATATATATATATAGGGCAACTTTCCCTACTCCACGTGCCTCTGTTTAGCTCGCAGTCAGTAAGAATCTGGTTGTCAGTTGATTAGCGGATCGCTTTCCCGGGGGTAATAATCCCTTCAAAACAATAATAATAATAATTTGCTCAATCCAAGACTGTTTGTGGGACACTGCTGTGCGCAATTGGCTGCCGCGTTTCACCCACAAAATACACAGTCAATTCACTTGAAGACATGATAAGGCGCTATATCAAATGCAAAGATTATTATTATCACGTATTCGCGACGTCTCAAAGCGCTTCACAGAATATACTGTAAAGTGAATCGACCGTATTTTTTTGGTGGGGTATTTCCATTCAGTGACCATTTCTGTTTAAAATACAGGGAGCAAATTTTCAAGCGATCCACTGAGCTAGTGTGTGGCGCCTACAATGACATTTACACAGCAATTATCGATCCAAACAATCAGTACAAGGAACCAGCATCGATTCTGCACCGATCTCCCCAGCAAGTGCAGACACTGCTCTCCTAAGCAGTATCCTCGAACAAGGACTGCTGATGTTTCCTGTCATTTATTGTATATTATATCTGGATTTCTTTTTTTCATTTAATTTATGAAAACTTGGGGTTTGTTACTTTATGTATATTTGATCTTTGCTTCCATTTGTTTTGCATCAATTCAATGGAACAGTTTTAACATTAGGTCCAGCTTGGGAAAATTCATCTCCACCTTCACTTAATCTTAAATTGATTTTATTTTCATTAAATAAATATATTGTGTATGTGGGAAGGATTCTGATTGATTGTTTTTTTCCATCACTCACATCAAACTGCTCTGAAGTTTGCATACTACTATTTTCCTGTCACCAGTTGTATGATGGTTTAGCAGATTTCCACAGCCCCAGGTCAGTTCTGAAACCTGCAGCCCTAAATTGGTTCAAACGTTTGATCTTTCTTTTGCTGAGATGTTACAGGGCTGACAACGACGCGTGTATTTTTATAGCACCCTTCGTGCCGGATGGGGTCTCGGAGAGCTTACAGGCGTTACAAGCCTTTTAAAACAAGTTGAAAATCATTGAATTAAAAAGGGGGATTCTAAGTGCCAAACATTTAAATACATACAATGACAATTATTATAAAAATCAGACCAGAAGAAAAGGTTCACATCATAATGAAGGTATTCTCTCACTACTCTTGTGTTCTCTAGCTGCATTCCTGCTTGCCCTCTGCGCTCAGCACTTTTGGGTTTCCTCACCTCCTCAGCTAGTGGCTAGACATGGAATAATATCTGAAGAAAATTGATACTACACTTGATTTGAACTTAAATGGCCTTAACCTTAATACTGATATAGATGAATTATTTTTGGCGTCTTCCAGTAATTTCTGTATTCGAAATGACTACAATCTCAAATAGGCCAAGAGTTGAGCAACATTTTAATCACTTGCATGATCTGTTTGTCAACTCCCTCCTCTTGCACGTGTTGTGAATTGGATTATTATTGATGTTTTTGTCAAACCAATAAATTTGCAGTAAATTCCTCAATTGTCCAATGTGTTGTCTTTGTTTTTAAAAATATAGCCGCATAGCTTGCCATTGAGAGCTTCGTCCGTAAAGCTCCCTGTTGTTTCTCAAGCTACGCCCACCCTACCCTTTAGGGCTTTGGTTTGCAGAGTCAAAAGAAGTAGTGGGAAGAAACCCTGCTCCCAGTGACTGTCTACCCTTCCAGTGCTGCCAAAAATCCAAGCTGCCTGTTCTGTCATCAGCAGTGCCCTGGAATACCGCTGACTCGAATCACACTACCAAGACCAGCACTCCCAAGGTTAGCTCAGCTCCAATGAGACCCAACTTACATTCCACACCCTCCCCCCGAGGAAAATTACATATTGGGCTGTGGTTCCACAAACCTCTGGTGGCCATTACTCAAGCAAGCCTTCACAGGGAGTGTTGGTAGGCCATCACATGGGGGGGAAGGCGATGGGGAGGAGAGAAATCACAGCTGAGCCCAATTACCTAACCTTCCCACATAGCAACTGCCGGCACTGTTTTCTGGAGAAGTAGGCCTGGCCATCCCCCCACCTCTCTTAACCCAGGGATGCTCAGGCCAATTTAGCAAAACGATTGCTGAGACCAGCAAACTCAGCACAGACCAGGGCTTGAACCTGCAACCTGATCCAAATTGTATTATGACCGTTGGGTAAGTAAAATGATGATGTCTTTACATTACAACTGGGAGATTATTGCATGTAAGTGACATTTGAACTTATGAATTCTAGTTCATGTCGCCTCACCTCTTTGCCTCCATCACCTTTGTGAATGAGACAGTGTAATTTGCAATCTTCAGTTTCAATGTTGCTCCACAGTCTTGACAACAAATGATGCTTCGACGTCCAATTTTAATCCACTTATTCAGAAGGCTTGGATTGCTATTTCTCTCCCAGTTATAATTAGAAGCTGGGTCCTGAAATGCAAGTCTGGTTTTGTGTATTGTCCCACACGCCAAGATTCAACTATCAGTTGCCATGAAGTCTGCCTTCAATTGGCTTTAGCTGAGAATGAGACATTTGCCCACGGGGCATAGTTTATGTTAAATTTGTGGCTGTGTTCAGCACAATGCAGTATTACTGGAGCTTTCAGCCCACACTCTTGAGCCAATGCTTTAACTATTAGATGTTATTTTCAGAAAAAGCTTTTGTCGGTCTTGATGGTAATTGTGTCAATCAACTGCTGTACATTTTGCAATCATTCGTAGCACTGACTATAAACAAGTCAAAAGGATTTGGAGTGCTGTTCATTAACACTGCTATATGCAGATTTAAAGACTTCACATAAATAAAGAGTGGAGCATTTGCTTTTTGTGCTCAGAATTAGAATCTGTAGAATGGAGCTGGTTTGATGATCGAGTTAATGAATTCAGTGCAATCTGGTAGTTTGGAATATTCAAAGTTCATTAAACACTGACCAGCAATGTATAATGTATTCTGACTCTGAAGCCTCCTTCCAATGTGAAAGGTGCTATACAAATGTAATTTTGTGTTGTATTGATCAAAATTGTCTTAGTAAAATGCTATGATCACCACAGTATTAAACATTAGAAATTTCTTTCCTCATCAGTTGAGTTCTAAGTGACACTTAGACACTAGTTCTACATTGTTTTTCCTGTCAATAGATCGCAGTGAAAAATATTTCAGTTTGTTTCACCAGATTGAATCTCCAATGCATTTTTTTTCAATTTGCTTTTTTTTCCCAAGAAAAGCAAGGCTTTTTCATTTTTTTTTAGCATTTTAAAGTCAGATTCTAAATGAGCTGTGTCTCAGCTGGAATATGAGCAAAGCGGCAGATGAAACCAGGTGCATTCACAAGACGAAAAGCCTGACATTTAAGCAACATTATTATTTTACCCATTATTATTATTGAAGCCCCATCTCAAGAGCTTCCTCTTTGACCGTACCTTCAATCATTCTCCCATCCAGCCTGGACCCCACCCCTCCTCAATCCAATCCCCAGCTTGGGTGCAAATCCTTGACAGTCCAGCACCTTGTACCGATGTGAAAGGTTGCTGTGGTTGATGATGATATTAGGTGATTATTGAACTTTGCAGATTCTGAACTGAAATCTTTTTTCAAAATGGTCAGGGTACAGACTTTTGTGAAGATGCCTCTGTTCTGCTTTTTTGATAAATGCAGTTTACACACGTATGTGTACATGCAGGTAAGCCTTATGCGTATTAGGTCAATCACATCGAAAAGCTTTTTAGTTATGTATTGCAATTAGACAGGTTTTATATGACATTTGCAAACTGCTCACAGAGTATGTAGCTCCATCATTGCAACCCACTTTTAGCTACCTGTTGGGTCAGTTTGATTTAATTGGGTCATTAGGGTGTGGGTTGAAACTCCTATCAAGAATAGGGCTCCTTGTCTAGCCTGGGGGAAATCTGTATTGTTAGAGATAATAATAATAATAATCATCCTTGCATTTGATATAGCGCCTTATCACGCTATCTTTCAGATGAGATTTTAAACCGAGGTCCCATCTGCCTATTTTTCGATGGCCATTAATGATCTTTTTTGAGGTCTTGCTGGTACAAATAGCTGCCACATCTACCCACAAAAACAGTCACTACACCTGCCAGTAATTTCCTTGTGCATGCTCTTAGATGTTTCTGTGTGACAAGGTGCTGTAAATACATCAAAATCAAGTTCTTCTTTATTCTGTAAATAAAGTGCCATGAAGAATAAATATGGTAAAACAGTGTGTTTGTTTTGTATGTCAGCAGAGGGCACCCAGAGGACACACATTCTGCCTCTTATGTAACTTGTTTTGCATGACATAATCCAGAACATGAGTACGATTCCTATGTTTGTCTCAAATGCTTAATTTCGTTAAAAATACACATTTAAGTTGAATACTAAATCAATCCTAGTTACACCGGGGCTTTTAATCGGCAGGATGTGTTTAATTAAACATTTGGAAGAGGAAAAGTGAGTAAGTTTGGAGTCTGCGGATATGAAATTACACAGAGCTTTATGATGGCGTTATATTCTCAACAAGGGAGATGAACGCATAGTTTGTTTGCAGTGTTCACTTGGTTATCATTTGGGAAAGTTTTTAATGACTATCCAAACATTGCAGTTTATCTTGTGTGGCCACAAGTGTTGGGATATGAGGTGAGGTGACGCAACCAAAAATAGGAATTCAATAAGAGTAAAGTACAGCTAGCAGTTTCAGCCTGGCTCAGTTGGCAGCACATCCACGTCTCTGGCTCAGAAGGTTGTGGGTTCAAGGCTAAATTGGAATTTGGGTTCATATTCTGGGTTGACACTCCAGTGCAGTACAGTGGGGAATTGCTGCCTTGGCAGAGGGCTATATTCTGGTTGAGATGATCAGGTGAATGTTAAAGATCCCATGACATTCAGTGAAGGGACTTTCTCCCAGTGTCCTGAAGGATGGTCTTCCAGATTCATTTCTCATTCACTTTCATAGGTGCTTGTGGGACCTTGCTGGTGCAAATATCTGCAAAAACAAACACTTCAGTCACCACACTAGAAAGTAATTATTGGCGAAGCACTTTTAGATGTTTTACATGATTAAGTGCTATAAAGATGGGGAGTGGTGCATTGCCTGTGGTGCCATCCTTTGGAACAGACAAACTGAGGTCCCATCTGCCTGTTCAAGATCCCATGGCACTATGGAAAACAAGAAGGGAGTTTCTCCCTGGGTCCTGGCCAACAATTAAAATTGGTCACTCACTTCATGGCTGTTTGTGGGACAAATTGCTGTGTGCAAGTTGTCTGCCTCATTCACTTACAAAATACCTACACTTACAGTTTATCCTGTGAAGTATTTGAGACCACTGTCTGACATGAAAGGAGCTATATCAAATGCAAGGATTATTATTTAAGGATTATCTTCTTTCATACTGTAAAAACATTTTCAATTGAGGGGCCTCATAATAGTCTCTAGTTCTCCACCTACACCCTCTGTTTCCCTCCCTGTCTTCAAACCTTGCCTTAAATTAATTTCGGTTTGGAATTAACATTTGTAATACGTTCCCCATGCTTTTGGTTACCCTCCCACCTCCTTATAAGTAGCCCTCCGCCGCCATACAATAATAATAATTGTACTTGATGTAGTGCCTTTGAAGTCGGGAGGACGGCTCAGGTTAAAAGACAAAGCCTGTTAATATCTCATCCAAAAGATGCAAGGATATACAGTCAATTCACTTTACAGTATATTCTGTGAAGCATCTCGACGATGTGATAAAGCGCTATATCAAATGCAAACATTATTATTATTATTAAAAGGATCATTTATTCAAATGCAAGGATTAATAATTTTTCATCAAAGGGTCCATGGATAGCAATGAGATGAATGAGCAAAATTTGCATGAACCACAAATGCAGGATTAATGAAGCTCCACTGAAAGGCTTTTCACAATAGGTATCATTTCGGATTGGAATTAACATTTGCAACTCTTTTCCCGAGTTTCCTTCTTGATCCATTTGCTCTCAGACCGTTCCTGGAACCAGTCATTACCATTATTTATTGTTTTAACATAATAAAGGGATTCAATTGAGTAGATACAGAGA